CATCTAAAATTTTTGAGATTGTTGTAACCTTATTATAAGATGATTTAATTTATTTCTAGACATTTATTTATTACACTTATGTCTTGTTTTAAGTCATTTCATTAAGTCAAATTATCTCACTATATTGGCAGATAATTTTGCTTGTTATAACATAAAATATGCTTCAAATTAGCAAAATTATCTGCCAAATCACTTAAACTAAAACAAGGAAAAATGTCTAGAAATAAGTTAAAGTATCTTATAAGAAGCTTACAAGAATCTAAAAATGAAAATATGTTGATTAGAGATATGTAGATTTGATTTAAGAAAATTTAACACACACATTGTCTAAGCCACTTATCCTTCTGGGCTCGCAGAGGGGTGCTGGAGCCTATCCCAGCAGTCATTGGGCAGAAGGTAGGAAATACCCTGCACAGGTTGCCAGTCCATCACAGGTCAGACACAGAGACATATACAATCACACACACATTCACACCTTGGGACAATTTAACATGTCCAGTTGACCTAATTGCATGTCTTTGGCCTGTGGGAGGAAACTGCAGCACCCAGAGGAGGTGGAATCGAACGTAGCCCCATTATGCTGTGCGGTGACAGTGCTACCCGCTGCACCACTGTGCCGCCCTCTGTGTTAACACACTAAATGTAAAATGTACCATGATTTTTGCACAGGCCACATTTTATGTTTGTGTTTTTTCGCCCACATTTTATTTAGCAAATACACAGTAATTGTGCACTACAATGTGCAGAAGTGCACTCTCTGCAGAAGATGTGTTATCAGAAAATCAACAAAACATTTCATTTGACCAGGGGCATCCAAACTTTTGCATACAACTGTATGGCGAAAAAAAAAGTAGTTATGAAATAAAGTATTCAGAGTGAATCGCAAGAAATATCTGTCCAAGTCCTAGCAAAATTCACAGACGATGTTGCCATGGGAATATGAGAACATCAGTAAAAGCATACTTATCCTATTTGAACCTGTTTAACTACATTAAACGTTCTCCCCTAACTATTATCAGTCTTAAAGACACAGTTCTACGTATGGGCACACTCAGTAACTGAAAAATAAGCTTACATTACCTACTGAACAACCTAATCTCAAAGAAATTCTTTAAAAAAGCAACTGCAATCTGATTATGCATATTTTCGAAGACATCCTACTCTCATTACAAGTAATCAGATTACATACTATAGATTATATTAATACTTCAGTCTATCACTGTCCAACACTGGTCATTGACCCCTGTGTGCAGAAGCAGCTTTGTGAAGGAGTGTATGCTGCATGAAACGACCTGAAAAACCTTTTTCCATACCTTGTAAATCCCAATTAGAATCACTGCAACAGCCATAGCAGTTTTGACTAACCACACTGAAACAACAGAGGCTTTTGAAGTACAGTAATAAGCAGTAATGCCTCAACTCAAACAGCAAAATACCGACAAACATGCATTATATACATTTACTGAGCTTTATGTCAGCAACTTCAGGGCTATTCCTGGGCAGCAATGGAAAGGTTCCAACAGCTCCTGACAGGGGCTTTAAAGAGAGCGTCCCTCATTACCCATAAAACCACCTCGCCAAGCAGACAGAGGGTTTAAATAAGCCAAAATAGGCACATGAAGCAGGTTTTATGTGAATATTCCCGCTCAGACTGAAATGGCGCGACACTGAATGTGCAGACTGAGGAATGATACGGGTGCTAGCTCGCCGAGCTAACAGATGTTTAATAGCCCTTCCCGCTGTGGCACTGGAGCCCTTGCTATATCCACTGCGCGCAGTCAAGGGGCAACAACGAGGCCGCAAATGTCACTTTCCCATTCATCACGCGTTTAGCGCATAAAGCAGTGTTTACAAACAGCGCAACATGCTCTCTCTCCATAAACCCTCTCAGTATAGGGATGAGGAGCTCCATGCCATAAGGGCTTTGCCAAGGCACGATTGCGCAAAACACACTGTCATGAAAACGTTCCCGCTGTAATTACGCACTAAGGCAATTAAGAAAAACAACAAAGCCTCGGTTGAACCTTTTTCCCAGCAGAATGAAGAAACGCTTAACGCGCGAGGTTCCTCCAGTCAACCTTTCGTTCATCATGGAGAGACCTCAGGCCATAGAGTCATTACCGCAGCCCGTGGGAGCCCCATCCAACATTGACAGTCGCCTTCTATTCGGCACGGCGGCAGAATTGGATTTTGATTGCTTTTCACAGGAGATTTTTAATTAAAGTAGAATGAGAATAGCATGTGAGATTAAGCAATGCTTCATGGTTTAATTCCCGATGAGAGCTATCGCAGAAAGGAAAACCATTAAATGGCTTCTTTACATATATTGCCAATCAGAACATGGGCAAGACATGTTTCAATTAAAATGACTGGCTGGCTCATTTTAGCAAACAATGAGCTTCTGCGAGCAAAACTCACAAAGCAGCAAAAAAAGGAATAATATGCAATCCAATAATGTGGCAGACAAATGAGTATACATCTATAAAAACATTGAAAATGTTGAAAACTATGAAATTAAAATGAAAACACTGCGACTTGGGACCTGTAGTTCTATATTATGTGAGTGCTACCCTGAAGAAAGATCCAAGGGAGCAAATGCACAGTGGACTGCTGTAGTACAAGCAATAAAGTTTTGCCCAAATTGAGTTTTAAAAATGTAAAAGAAGACATCTTTGTGGTGTGTGGCATATTAATAGGGTGCTTTCACACCTGCCTTGTTTGGTCTGGACCTTCAGACTTTTCAGTTTGGTCTGAACCAAAAGAACAGGTCTGAAATTTGCCTTGAACCACGGCCTGGACCAAAGGACCAAAATTTGGTCTGGCCAAAAGGAGGTCTTGGTCCAGTTCAAACTGAACCATGGTTCAATTTGTCTGCAGTGAAAACACTTTTTTGGATAGATTGGACTTCGGACAAATTGCAGGAAGTTGAGGGAGGCTATTGTCACCCGAAAAAGAAGAAGAAGAACTGGAAGAGAAGTAAAAATGACCTGCTGTAGCACACATGGAGAGGAGACGAATATTTAACTGTAATTTGGTCCAACGAAAAAACCAAAGTCAACCTGAAAATGCATAAGGTGCCAAAACATATACCTTATTTTCTAAGAGGATGAGACGATGAAGCAGCAGCAGTATATGAAGGTAGTATAGTGGCAACAAAATGAATCTGTTCATTAATTTTTATCCTTTCAAACAGAAAAGGATACCCACTGAACTAACAACATGCCGATATCAGATGGATGCTCTTCTACAAACCAATCAATGCCAAGTATAGGGAGCTGCAACCTACGTAGAGGATGATGAAAGGATGTAGGCTTGTTTTGCAAAGTTATTTAGTGCGCTGGCAAAATTGCAATATGAAACAAAAACTAACCAGATCAAATGTATACAGTGCAAAAAAACAAGAACCTTGGTTCGGACTTTGGTCTGGACTTCCATGTCTGAAAAGGCCAATATTTGTACATTCAAAAGTCTGTAATCACTGTTCACATCAATAACTGTTGATAATTTATTCAGTAAAATGTTATACATGGTCATTTGAAATATTTTAACGACTGCACTTAAAATGTGGTTTTTAAATGGTTAATTCCTTTTGGACAGCTTATTATGGTTATATAGACTGATATTTGTATCAAATTTGTTAGCACGGCAAAAACACAGACTTTCTCAACACATCTGAAAAAACAACTTGTGGGTGTTGCTATATTTTCAGCAGCCAGCAAGGTCTCAGCATATGTGAAGCCAGTTAGAAAAGCAGCCCAAGTGGCTCTTCATGAAGCTGCTGAGAGAATGCCAAAATAAAGTTGAAGTTTACATCCAGGCAATAAATGGGCTACTTTTAATATCTCTAAAATATAAGATTAAGCATGTGATCAGGGGGGCCTGAGACTCTGCCCCTTTGCCCTCAGTTTCAGCAAGCTGAGGTTCAGCCTCACCCTGGGAACAGAGCTTGTGGGCTGGCTTGAGTTTTACAAGATTCATACATCTTGAGCGCCACCTCTAATGCAACCACCTGTGGTTCTCCTCAGTAATTTCAACCTGTCACACATCACCACAGAGCTGGAAATTCCACAAATAAACCATTGAAAAAGTGCCACATAACATGTTATAGTTATTTTGAAAAATATCAGCAATGAAAAGTTAATAATTTGCTACACTAAGTTTTCATTATTGTAAAAAACTGAAATCTATACAGACACAGCAGAGCTCTTAAATAGAATTGTAACTAATATTATTTGATGAATCAATTGTGTAGGTATTAATGTTAGTGCTTTTGGCTGCCTTTGGAAGAACTCTTAACACTACATTTGGTTTTGTTTGAAACATGTTTACACATCTTTCTTCATAAGAGTGACTGCAATATACAGTAAATTGAATTTTAATGAATAAAGTTTAACTGATGTTGATGTTGCTCAGTTTCCCCCTTGAGCCCCTGACTCCCAAAAATGCCTGTGCATAAGATTGTTTTTATTTTTTAATGCTCACAGCATAATTCCATGTGTGTAATTTCACAGTATGATATCTTTATTGGCTAAAAATAAGGGAGTATGTGTGCCTAAACTTTTGTAGCGTAGGTAACACTTTATTTGCATAGTCCACATTTGTAGATACTTAATTTATAAGTTACATTCAACTAAATGTTGACTAAATTGACCATAATTGTCTTTAACTCCCTGGTCCTAGCCTTAACCCTGGTCCAAATCCTAACCCCAACCCTATCACTAGTTAGAATCAACAGTTTCAACAGATAGTTTGTACAGTTTGAACATCTGTACATAATCTATAGGGAACTATAGTGAACTATCCAAAGAAAGTGAGACCACTTTATTTGGATCTCTACAAATTATTTAAAATATATAATGGTTAACAGTACTAGCATCATATTAGAATCATATCATACACAAACATGCAACAGAATTGCTTTAACATTAATGAAAACAGTGATTCCAAGCTTTTGAACTGCAGTGTATGTATGAGAATGAGTATATGTTTGTGCGTTGCACCTCTGTAATGAAGGCCTTGGCGCTGGCGGGGCTCATGAAGAGAACAGCTCTGCGCAGTGTGTCTCTGTAGCGGTGTAACTCCTCCACCCTCATGGTGCGGAACATTCCGGTGATCATCATGTTAATGTTAGACTCCACCTTTTGCAGGGACACGTCCATGCCTTGCTGGGATGTCTTGTCCAGAAAGTCCTGGATGCCCCGGATGTCTGCACAAACAGAGACAACATCACCTCAGTTATATTCATCCCCAGTATGAAGCTTTCAGCATCTGCTTTATGGAAACACGTTAGAATGTGAATATGTATTCTGTACAAATACAAAATACATATTCACTGTATTCATAAATACTACATTTATGAAACTGACAAAAAATAGCATGAAAGTAATATCTCATTTTAAAATGCAGAAGTGCACATGCCTTTGTACAAATCTAGGATAAAAATCAATAAAAAGTGTTAATCATTAAAATTGATTTTAACCATCAACTCCTGGCAGTGGCGTAAATGGGCCCTGGTGCAAAAACAAAGTAACGGACCCTCATTATTACCCTAAATAAAAACTAATGACAATGTAACTGACCGACCCATACCCCACCCACAAATAGCACCTGCTGGTTTACACAAGGTTTACAGAATGTTGACAAAAACTCCATTCAACCCAACGAGAAATTGTACATATAAGTACCTATATTAAGTGTCATTAATATTTATTGTGTATATGTGAGAAATATCACACTCTTAGGATAGACTTATTGTTTTCTTGTTGTGTTATCAAGCTAACATAAGCATGATGGGAAATTCATTGTCATTTCCAGTCTGCCTAGTTTCAAATCAGCTACAACATAACCCAGCTTGGTAGAGTAGCATTTTAAACTGGAACTCAATGTTGCAATTTTAAACTTCAACCTAAAATCATTAGGTTGAAAGGGATTCTTGCCAACATTCTGTGAAGCTTGTCCAACTTACTACAGAAGTGGGTGGCGCATGGATAGGTCTATCTGCTTGTTGAAGGAACGGCTTAGTGAAAAATCTTATTAACACCATTTTCCACTTACCCCAGTAGTCGATCAGCCAACTCATGTTTGGTGTACAAATTTTGCTTCTTTTGTTTAGAACAGGAGATATAAGGCTAACATTGCTAGAAGTCAAGTCACCTACTAGAAGTCCAAAGTCACCCAAATCTTTTCTATAAATACATCCCCAAAACATCTTTCAACAGAAAGATGTTACTTCTCAGAAATAACTTTATTCTTGAATTTTTTAACTGAAGATATATGTTTATAGATAGAAACAACAGAAATCACATATGTAATCTATTGTTAACATGAAGGGGAGTCATATTCTGTGAGGGAGTCCCAATTTTGCACAACGCTTGTTGTCTAAAGTTACTGCCCACTGCATTCAGCTACACAGTGAAGTTTTGGTAATTTTTATAGCTCACAGTAAGTCATACTGTGTCCTAAACCACATTGACAAGTCTGAATGAAGAGCTGGATGCTGTTTGAGCAGGTTGAGAGAAGTTTTGGGGATGTGCTTATGGAAAAGATTTGGGTGACTATTAACTTTTAGTGTTTGTTAGCAATGTTAGCCTTGTAGCTCCAGTGGTAAACTGAAGAAGTAAAATTTGGACACCAAACATGTCTTGACTGATCAACTACATCTGAGGTAAGAGGAAAATTATGTAAATTAGACTTGTCGCCAAACCATTCATTTAACTCAGTTGTCATGTTTCAAGTTATCATAGCTACCCAGGAGTCTTGGGTGTAAAATTGCGAAGTAGTGATATAATGATGTTAGGGGGCCCAGTTGCCACGGGCCCCTCCTCGTTCTGCTGGCTCCAGTGCGATTTTCCCATCTGCACTGCTGCTAGTTACACCACTGTCTCCAGTCAGCAGGCACACTGACATCAATGCATTCTCAACCATTTCCCTTCCTACAGGAGCTTCAGCACGAAGACTGTAGTGTATAAGAGAATATTAGCATTTGTGCTAACGGCACTAAAGGAGCGAGAGAGAGAGAGAGAGAGAGAGAGAGAGAGAGAGAGAGAGAGAGAGAGAGAGCGTGGTACATTTGTCATTGCAGTGGCAGGGCTGGAGTGCTGTCTCAGAGCTGAGGTAAATAAAACATGAATCTCCTACAGTCAGAGCGGGGCTTGCTGCATGCTCATCCTTCTGTGCAGGCAGCTCTGTCCTACATCAAACCAATTCCAGCACGGAGAGGGGGGGCGAGCAAGCAGAGTGCAGGATCAAAGCGGACTGAAAGATGGGACCGGTGCGGAGGAGTTTGGGGGGCGAGGAAGGTGAGATGTGGGGAGCGAGTGTTTCAGACATGGAGAATGGTGAAAACCGTTCAAAGGCACCTCCTGAGCAGAGCCCTAAGTGACGGTTTTAGGCAGCACGTGGGTTGAAAAAGTGATAGATGAAAGAGTGTAGCACATAAATATAAACATGCATACAACAGAGAAAAGCATAGGCGTTGTATGTTGTATGTCTGATGACTTTATAGCCTAGGCCTGTTCCTGCCGAGTCAATCAAGCTTCAATGCAGAGGCATTTTCTTCTTCCTTAGTAACGTAATTTCTCAAAGCTGCAATATTTATTTTGATATTTAAAGAACATGATCCAACCAAAAGGTAAAAGCGTGTTAATATATAACTTTAATATAATTTTACTAGTTTTTGTGAATAGCTTTTCTGTAGTGCTTTCTGACTCAGGGCCATGAAACCGTGTACACAGGCCTGTGCTGGTAATGCAGTCATCCATACAGTGTTAGACAGACATGTAACACAACACTGTCCAAATAGCATTATCTGGCAGACACAGAGGAAAAAAGAGAAAAAAACACAAGCTGTTTGAGAAGCAGGAACAAAATTTTGGTACATGTGCCTTTCTCTCATGTAAGACATCAGTTGTTTTTCAACTGGTAAAGTTTTATTCAGTGTAATGTGAAGCTCTTGGCCTTACTCTCTGCTGCTGCCGAGTTCAGGGTTACGCTCCGGTCGACTTGGTTGTGTCTATATGTTGAAAAATAAATTAATGAAATTCTTTATTACTGTTGATAACGTGAGCAGCCATGTCGATGATGTCATACGCTGAGCTCGGAGTTGAGAACACCATCCCAACTTTTCTGAGTAGGAATTCCCAGTTGAGAAGGTGTTTTCTTACATGTTTTCCAGTCAGAGGTCAAAAAAATATTTACTGTGTATACATGAGAAAGGTCACACAATAAGAAAACACTGTTTTCTTGTTGTGTTATCAAGCTAACATTAGTATGATGGGAAATTCATTGTTAATTTCAGCCTGTTTAGTTTCAATCAACTACAACAACAAAATCCAGCTTGGCAGCGTAGCATTTTAATTTCTCAGAGCTGTGATTACATTTATTTTGATATCTAAAGAACATGATTTAACCAAAAAGTAAAAGTGAGCATCCCTGATATCTGTCAGAGAATTTGGCTGAGATGTTAATTGAAGAAGATGGAAAAATTTGGGAACGAACATACACAACGATTAACAAGCCAAGAAGCAAATACCAGAAGATTTCAACTCCACAAATACTCTTTACACATATCAAACCATCATGTCCTGGAGCACAAAAACGTCGTAAAGCAGTCAGAGAACATCTGTTGCCTCCAGTTAAGTAACAGGAAATCAGAGCACGTTACAAGATAGATGCTATGTCTACTCTGGGAATAAGCTTAGTTCTGCCTTTAAGTCAGCTTACAAAGTGTGTAGTATGACCTTACAAAGTTGGTGCAAGGTAATGCTAGCTAACTAACAACCCTGTGAAGCACACTAGCAGATCAGAAATGCTTAAAAACTAATTTTAATCAAAAGATGGTGGTGTTCAGTACATTTAAGGTAAGAGAATACAGTATGTACAGTACATGACTTTAATTATTAAAAAAATAATAATTTAATAATATAAAAAAGATTTAATACTATTCTGTTTCCAGCACAATAACAAGATATAGGGGCTCGTCTTATATACCTCATGGTTCTCTGTTGTAAGCTGACAGCTCATGATGGCTTAATTCAATGGTGAAGTGTAACATTTTGAGTCTTAGGCTACCAGCAATTACCTCTTACTTAACTGGAGGCTCAGAAGTTCTCTAACTGCTTTACAATGTTTTTGTGCTCCAGGACATGGTGGTTTTGATGTGTGTAAAGAGTATTTGAGGAGTTGGAATCTTCTGGTACTTGTTTCTCAGCATGTTATTTGCTGTGTAATCACTTAGGTTACCAGCAATATAGTCTTATTGAGTACCTGCATCTTATTATTCTTCATGGAAAGAATATTTGTTGCTTATATCATGTTTAAAGTGATATATTTACATATCTTCTTACTAGTTAGATATAAGATATTTAGGGTAATATGAAACTAGATATTATTGCTTATTTAAAGAAACAGTAAATAGTAAAAGTTGCTTATCTCATTGGCATTTACTAAATATAAGCAATTAAATTTGTAATATAATTTTACTAGTTTTTGGTGAATAGCTTTTCTGCAATGTAGATGCTTTCTGACTCAGAGCCATGAAACCATACACACAGTCCCATGCCGGTAATACAGTCATCCATACAGTGTTAGACAGACATGTAACAGAACACGGTCTAAATAACATTATCTGTCAGATACAGAGGAAGAAAGAGAAAAAACACAAGTGAGACGCAAGAACAAGATTTAGGTACGTGTACTTTTCTCTCATGTAACTAGGCTCAGAGGTGGGAAACCGGAGCTTGGAATTGTGTCCTTTTTGACCTCCGTGCATTCGAGCTACAAAGTGGGGAAAACATGAATGTCTCCATGAAAGTGAGTATTGGTAGCAACAAGCTAACCAGCTAGTCTTTCTAAGCACTTTTCATCTCCAAGTGCTTTGAAAGACTAGTTCTTCATCTCCAAGTGCTTTAGATTAGTTCTTTCACATTTGAAGTCCTGTCTGCCTGCTACAGTGGACCCACACCAGTTTGCCTACCGCTGCAACAGGTCAACAGACGCCATTTCCATGGCGCTCCACACTGTACTGACCCACCTGGACTGTCAAAACTCATATGTCAGAATGCTGTTCATTAACTTCAGTTCAGCACTTAACACAGTGATCCCCTCCAAGCTGATCTTAAAGCTTAGCCAGCTTGTTATCAGCACATCTCTCTGCAACTGGACCTCAGTCTGTGAAGTTAGACAAACTCTTCTCCTTCCCCATCACCC